GGGAACTATTACGCTGTGTGTGGTCTGGGAATAGGGCTGGGTCATTGTGATAAATAAGTAAATAGCCGGAGACAGGCTCAGACCTCAGATCGATTTATGCAAAGCTCCCTCCGCCGGCCAAACAGCGCTTTTAGTGACATTAAGGGGCGTGGTCCTAAATGTTTAATGGCCTGCAAATAAAAGTTATGCCATGGCAGGCTGTGGACTGCGGACATTAACGAAGCGGAAGATTATATCGGAGGAGCAGAAAGAAAAAACTCATAGAGGAAATGGAAATCCTCCGATAAGCCCGACTCACTTTGAGCCAATAGTCAGGGGGTATAATTAGCCCAAATCGCACATGACTTGCAGGAACAGTATGCAAGATTCTACAGTTTGTTTTATATATACATATACACCTTTTTTAACATTTCAAAATACAAAAACAGCCCAGAGCATTTTTATAATCCAATAAATAATTATTGGCCATCTGAAACTCTTAGATATTAGCATTCTAATATTTATGCAAATTCTGATTTCAGCAATTTTCAAAACAAAAAGACAGAAAAATTAGCAAAGTTGTTTGTTATTCGCTAAATTAATCACTGTCAATAGACGCACACCTTAAGTCTTGAAAGAATATGCATGATTTCTCGGGAATACAGATTAAAATATATATTTTTATACAAAAGACAGCTCATTATGTCATCGCTACGGTCTATCGGCACCCAATTAACCTTAACCATAATAAATGCTTTTCAAATTCACTTTGCCGGCTTATCAAGGGAATCGGTCTTCTATATATAGGAGAGGCATTTGGAGGATTTGCATTGACTGGCGATCCGTAATTACGCTAAACGTTATGCGCATTTATTTCCCATTGATTTTGCATTTTAAATTTCAGCGCTCGTGATTTTATTTGTGAGCATATTTGAAGTAAGCGTAAATTTATGTAGTTCAATGTTGATTACACTACGTTTTTCGTTTGCGTGTGTTTTGTGTGTGTTTAAATATGCAAATCTGGTGTTTGAACAACTTTAATATGCAGCTTACCAAAGAGTCAGAGAAACTAGTTTGCGCTTCAGTTTTCCCCCATATTTTTTCACTGGCCTTTTCGGCTGCATAATTCTCTCGAAATATCCGGCTGCGATTATATGCTCATAATAAATGAGAGCAAAAGTGGGTGTCATAACGCCCTAATGAGCCCCGAAAATGGGTGAACTTGGTCACTCTGATTTCTGAAATATGTGTGTATATTTTTGCAGACAAATTTTTTTTTTGTTTTTGTGTCGTTCGATTTGTGAGCTTTTCGCCTCTCCGACTGCCGTTGCATTGACCCAATTTGTTTATTTATTGAAATTGCTTTTATGGGCAGCCCCGTCCGAGACAGAGTGTCTACCTCCGCCTCTATCTCTTCAATCTACAATCGTTCTCTGCCCCTGCACACTCTCGCCTTCAATTATTATTTATCGATTCCAGCTCAATTTGTCAAATATATGTTTTCCTCTTCCACTGGGTCACTGGGGGGTTGGCTATGGGGCCTTCGATCGAACTCATGATTCATTGATGCTGTGATTCCATCGAAATCTATCTGAATTTGCTCCAGATCGAATGGGGCTAACAAAGTCCTCGCTTCGAGGACACTCCCGTGGAAATTAAATTATAAATTTAGACAGATAAATTCGGTTGATACCTTGGGGGCTCAACGACGATTCTCCTCGCCACCCAGAAGTTCGGTTCTGACCAACCGCAAATCGGTATAAATAGCTTCCAGGGCCCGGGGGCGTTGGATAGGATAGAAGAGCATGTAGGGCTTGTTTTGTGGAACCAAAAACGTGCCGCCCCTGCTCCATGTTTTCCCTCTAAAGTACCCTCAACCCAGTGACATTGTCACCTCCGCTCGACTCAGTCTGTTTGGTGTAATTGCTTAGTCTAATTTATGCCAGCGGACGAAGCAAAGTCAATGTCGAGCTGGGCAAAAATGGAACCGAAATGGTAAAGAGACCAAAACAAAACAACAAAAACAAAAAGATGGGGGCTGGGGGGATTGTCTGTGTGCTGGGAGGGGCGGGGGAGCACCCAGACAGCTACATGAAAAAGCGTTTATCTAAGCAAAATGTTACCAACAAAGTCCGTAATTACAATTTATTGCAGGTAATTATGTAATTTTCGTGACGGATTTTGTTGTTTAGAGCTTCAACGAGAGGAGACAAGCCAAGTGCGTGTGTGCACTGAGGAAAACAAGGGTTAAAAGTGGGATTTTAGCTTACTTTAATTAATTATTTACAGCTCTATTTGCCCAAATAGGTTCTGATTGTCTTGTAAATATTTTTGAAGACTTGTGAATTATTTAATACATTAATAAAATATATAAATAAACTTATTCTTATTTAAATTTATTAAATTTAATGCATTATAATAAACAAAATACATATATTTAAAACCTTGAAAAACTAGTTCATTAAAAAATAAAAAATAAATGAAAAAGTGCAATATTTTGTGACCAAATTCCTTAACAAATGAAATATCTTTTTGATTTTCATTTTAAAGAAATACCAATTTTCCTCACTGTATTTCTAAGTACTTTAAAATCCCCCATCCACCCGGTGCGTACCTATTTTAAATGAGTTTTCGGATCGGAAAAACTGGCTAGCCGATTTTTAGAAGCCCATTGCATGTGGCATGCAACGTTGATTGCCACTGACCATGCGGGGAAATCTTCGACGGCGCTGCTCCTTGTTTTTCTGCTGCTCTCAGGTTGTTTCTCGTTGATTTCTCGTTTGCTCAGTCAGCTCGTTGTCATTTCCTGTTCGAGGTTGAAAAATGGACATGTGCTTGGAGGATGAAGGAAGGTGACTGATTTTCTTGCCGTTCTTCACTCTTGGATCTGTAAGAGGTTCTCTTCTTAAGCTCAACACGCATTTCCTGCCGGGATTATTACCAAGAACTGCAACAAATCAATCGATTAATTATTGTGGGAAATAGAATCGAATGACAGCTATGAGAGGAGCCCTTGATTCCCATATTTAATGTGTCATTCAGCAATGAGTTTCCCAAAAAAAGAAAAAAATCAATCATTGCCAAGAAACCCCTTCAAAGGCACAACGTAATCTGCTTTTTCGGCTGATATTCGCCAATTAAAACCCCAAAGCTATCTAAATCACATTAGACCCAAAGAATGAGGGAGCGAAGAAAACCTTGTTCAGACCGCTTCCGTTGAAAATGGAAATTGAAATTTAATATGCGCTCGCTCTGCGAAAAAAAGCGCCAGCTCATCAACGGCGGCATTAGTTTGCACATATTCAAATCAGTTTTTTATTTGCCAAACAAAGGCTGCAGTCAGAGTACAAAAAAAATGGGGAAAAAATCGTTAAAATAAAAACAGTTGAAGAGGTGTTGGGTAAGCCGTGGCTGCGGAAAGACAGGAAATACGTTTGGGCCAACTAAACAGGGAAAAGCCGGCGAGAAAAACTGGAAATCATTGTGCGCCAAGACCGCCTTCTCCTCCCCCGCCTCTGGCATCATTAACATATATTTGAAAACGCAGAGGAATCCCAGTGCTTCTCCTCTGCCCGCTCTTCAGTGGGTTTTGTGGGTCCTCATGAAAATTTGTAAGTATGTTGGACTTGTCACTTGCACACTTCATGACCATATTTGTCACATTTGCGCCATGTTCGCGTTGGCCAAGGAGCCCGCGGGGCTCCAGCCAGGGGTCCGGCAATGGGTCTGCTCCGGCTCCTGCTCCTGCTCCATCCTGCTTCCTGGGGCCCGCCAAACCTGCGCCGTCCCTCGGCGGGCAAATCAGATGCGCAACTAACGAGCAACAACCACGACAACGACAACGACGACGACATGGAAATTCGTTCGCTCTGCGTTTTGCCATACTGAGTGGACACAGGGTAGCAGAGGGTATGAAGGGATCAGGGAAAATGGAAAGGTATTAAAATTTTAGATTTGTTTTAGATAGTTAGTTACTGTCCTTTAAATATATCTTTATTAAGAGTATATATTTTGATAGCTTAGCTTATAGACCAAGTACAGGGTATCCCCCATTTGCATAACAGTGGCTGTTCAACAGTCACAACTTGCTTTTATTGTTCTGCCGGCTGCTGCTCCAACTGTTCCAGCTCCAGCTCCTGCTCCTGCCCCAACTTCAGCTGCTGATTCCACTGCTGATGCTGATGCTTTCTGCGGTTGCCGCAGACGCCTTCTGGCCATATTTGTATGAATAAATGCGTATTTAAGCACATACTTACAACACTTGCCATGTATGGAGCCAGCAACCCAAAAGACAAGGGACACAAGCTGGGACAGCAGCAGCAGCAGCAGGAGCTGGGACACGGGACACGGGACATGGGACTTCTGGGGACCCAGACAAGGGACAGTTCCCAGTGGCAATAGGCAGGGGCAGCAGCAACATTTTGCATTTTCCCCATTTTCAAATATTTTTCCTGTGCGGTTAAATTTGCTTTATGCTCCTTAAAATGCGGAAATATTTCAGTGAATAAAAACAGTGGCACAATTTATTAATGAAGCCCAAACAATTTGTTAAACTCTTTTTATGCCGCCCGCAAGTTATTCAAATGCAAAATTGCAATTTGAGTAATTGAATATTAAATAATTATCTAGAGTTTATCTAGGAAAAATCAGGGGGGAGGTTGTGTCAAAATGCATTTAATGGAAATACTGTAATTTATGCATATTATTAAATGGAATCAAGTGTTTCGGGAAATATGGAAAATGCATAGGCCCCGCAATCGTTTCCCGTTCAGTGGAGCCATTAAGGCATTACCATAAATAAATAATTAAAATCGAAATTAAAAGCGAAAAGAAATGGGTAAAAAAAAATGTATAAAATATTACAAAAAATGGGGCCAGTCTTCGTTCAGAATACCTACAACTGAATGAATATTTTAAGCAAATCATAAATTGCCGACATGGAAGCCACTTTCCAATATTATTAAAAATTTACGATGGTATTTAATAATTTATGCGTTTTTTGCACATCTCTCTCGTTGCAGGTCCTGAGCCACGATCAACAATATGTTTGACAACAGTTTCCGGCCTTGAATTGAATTAAATATAATAAATTAAGCTGGGCCAAAAACATACAGTTTGAATTGTTAATGAGCAGCAGCAGCGGCAACAACAACAACAACAACAACAAGTGTTAAATGCAACCCCCTTCGACGTCGCTGCCGGCGTCGCTGATTCAACAGTGCTGAAAAGTCAATTAAAGGTAATCAAATCGAAACTGATTGCATTACAGCACCGGCGACAATAATTTTAATTCGCGCTGATGTCGTGTCACTTATTCCATTTCGATTTCTGCTAAATACAACAATTAATTGGGGACAGCAGCTAGCTCCCCTTAGCTGCGCCCCTGCCCGCTGTCGCATTGCGGTTTTTAACGCGCCGAATGACAAGTGCGCCTGCTACGCGGTTTTTCTCGCCACTGTTTGCCGTTTTTTTTCCACTGCGTTGGCGATTTTCGGTTTCAAATTCGTTTCTTTTTTTTTTACGATTGAAATTCGAGTTTTACGGATAGGATTTATGATGTATAGGCGGCTTAGGAGTTAAGCCTGCGGGCTAAAGCCGATTGGATAAATGCGCTGATAGGTTTTGCGGGTTTTAATTATTTACAGAGATTTTTTGTACATACAAATGAATCATTTTTATCTTTTTCACATTAATAAAAACATCTTTTAGATTAGGTTAAGCTTTTTATTAGGCCGAAAAACGGCTTTAAATTAAATGGAATTTGTATTTTATTGATATAATGTTAAAACAAGAAAGGAAGCTAACTTCGGCACACCGAAGTTTGTATACCCTTGCAGATTGGTTTTGATGTTTATATTATAGATTTAAATGCTGAAAATACTCACAAAACAGAGTTTCATTAAATTTTACCTATAGTTATTATGTTTACAGTTTGACAGTTACAGTTTTACATTCCCAGCTTTACATTTTCTCCACATTTACAGATCGTTTATATGACAGCTATATGATATAGTTGTCCGATTTTCATAAAATTTTTTCCAAAATTCTGAAATAATAAAAGAAGCTTATATCTAAAAGTAGATAAGAATATGTTGAAAAACAACGAAGTTATAATTTTTTTCTATTCATTTTCCGATCGTTCCTATGGCAGTTATAAGATATAGTCGTCCGATTTTCATAAAATTTTTACCAAAATTCTGTAATAATATAAAATGGCTATATCTCAAAAATTATGCAAAAATATTGAAAAACAGCCAAGTTATAATTTTTTTCTAAAAATTTATCGAACATTTGTATGGCAGCTATATGATATAGTCGTCCGATCCGGCCCGTTCCGACATATATAGCAGTGAGAGCATATAGAAGACTATATGCAAAGTTTCATTCAGATAGCTTTAAAACTGAGGGACTAGTTTGCGTAGAAACAGACAGACGGACAGATGGACAGACGGACAGACGGACAGACGGACATGGCTAGATCGACTCGGCTGCTGATGCTGATCAAGAATATATATACTTTATAGGGTCGGAAACGTCTCCTTCACTGCGTTGCAAACTTCTGACTGAAATTATAATACCCTGCAAGGGTATAAAAAAAGGCTTTAATTGTATTTTTTATAGTTTCATAATTATAGATTTTTAATTAAACCTCGTAATTAATTTTATAATTTGAGAGAGAATTTGAGAGAATAAATAGTATCTTTGCTGAATTAAAAATTAATTTAAAATACTTACTATATTGCCATTAAAATACAGACTTTAGCTGCTTTTCTTCTTTTCCCCCTTAAATTTTCCCCACTTAAATACGACTTTTCAAGTATTTTCGCAACCAATTCGACTTTGACTTGGCAAACTTACGTGCCTTTTTGGGGTTAACCAGAACAACTCAAAGTGCAACAAGATGTGGCCACTAATTGCGAGTTGTTAATGTTGGGAAAACAGAGCGGGCAACTCAATTGAAAATCTTTGGCGACTCTGGAAACTTGGCAAAGTAATATAAATCACCCAAGGGTTCAGCCCGGTCACAGACCAAGCTCAGAGCTGAATGGCTGCCGGTTTAATGACGCAAGTAATTGCAACGACCGGCAACTTGCAACTGGCAGAAGCAACTTGCAACTCGAAAGGGGGCTGACTGGAGACTTAATGAAAATCAAACAAAACAATAACTCAAAGTCGGTCAACTGTGCTGGGTAAAACGCAACAGCCGTCGATGTCGATGTCGATGTCGATGTCGATGTCGATGATTCCCCTCTCCGAAAAGCAATAATTGATAAACGAACATCGGCGAACAGATGTACAAGTGTTCAAATGAATGAATCAAGCTCAATGACGATGATGATATCCACGACATGCGAGCCAAATCAATTGATTTATGCAGCTGGAGCTGCGTTTAATTGAAAGCAGTAATTAAATTAATGACTCCTCGTCTTCGTCCGGCGAAAAGTCAGGCTTTAATTAAGTCACGGAATGACGTCCCCGGCTAGTCCTAACTAGACACTCTGGCACTGGCATGTGTGCATTCCCTGGCTCCGGGCAATGCACTCACAGCTCCAGAGTCCATTCAGAATGCGGAAGTTCATTTATTTCTTGGTTTCATTTTATTTTTATTTCGTTTTTTATGGAAACCTGAAGCGCCCAAAAAGTAATTTATAAATATGAAGCCATGGCAACGCTGTTGAAACATCGCGTGAAATGTACTCGAAGAATTTCGCTGACAAAAGAGTTTTAGGACGTGACTTTTTCGCAAAGTGTTTACCAAGCTGATAATAATAATAATGTGATAAGTCTATGGCTATATCTTAATATGATGTCATGGAGAGACAGTTGGATCTAATTTAAAGTGAGAATTGATATCATTTGTGGAGCAATCTCTTCTTAAATAACTTATTATTATTAGTTGCTATTCTTTTATGATATAGTAAAGTTTCCTTATGACTTTATTATAACACTTTCCTCTTACCTTGTCAAAGATTTCTCAAATAATATCAAGAGAAAGTATTTTTCTCAGAGGAAAATGCAAGATTTAATATTACCAAAAATACTTTTCGAGTTATCCACCTCTTTTCCATGGATTCTCTTCTTTAAATTCAAAATGATTTAATAAAATCTGAAATGTTATTGCATTCCGCGGCTGAAAGTATTTTCGCGCTTCGCGTCTTTACCTCACATATATCATGGGCGGGCCCGTCTTCGGCTTATGTATTCATAATTAAATTAATTAAATTCTTGCGCTTCAATTAAAATCTTATTAAGTTTCCGTATGCCTAGCCATCCACCAACACTCCTGTTCCTGTCCCCCCTCTGTCCCCTTTGGCAGCCAGAGTTTTCCCCTTTGGAACCAAAGGGGGAAACTCTGAAAAATTACCGAGAATGGTGGCGAATGGGAGAAAGAGAGAGAAATGAGCAGACAAAGGGAAAAACGGGAAATGAAAAACTTCTTACAAAGCTTACTTATTCACACATCACGCAGACAACTGCAGACTTTTCACTGGCAAATACTTTTCCTGTCTCCAGCACACACACCCGCACACACACACACACTTACACACGTTAAGCATTATTCAACGGCCAGGAAGAAAAAATGGCTAAAAAAGAGTGTCCTGCAACGTGGCGTTGGTCCTTTTTTGGGTGCTGGCAGCCAGCACGGGATGCCAAAGGCAAACAGGACGAAGAAAAATGCTCACCGACCATGTGGTTCAGTTGATGTTGCTGCCGCCGTGTGGCTGTTGCTGCTGCTGCAATGTTGTTGCTGCTGCTGCTGCGTTGCACATATTGCTGCTGCATTCTTCGCATAAATTTCGCCATCGCACTTAACTCATGTCTCGGGGTCTCTCTTTAAATGAGTCTGGTTAGCTCTGGCCATTGAGGCACTGGAAAAAATAGAATAGTTATTTTATAAAGCAAGAACTATTTTTTAATTTTTGTGTGTGCTTTTAGGTTGCCAAAATGCAATTTCCACCAATGCAAATTACTTTTTAACTAATATTTAATATTTAAATGTTGTTTTTCATAAGGCTTATATATTTTCCTGACTGTTTTTATCTTCATCTCGCTCTCGCTCGCTTTGAGCTCAGAGCATAAACAATGGCGCTGTTTAAAGCAAAAAAAAAGAAAGAACGACGCAACTTGCCCCTTGCCATGACTCCATGCCACGTAGAACTCTGCACACATGTGACGCTGCCGCTTCCCGCATCGCCACCCACTAGCCCCTCCTCCTGCTCGTCCTCTTCGCGGCCTTGCCTCATGTTAAATTCAACGCCGGCAGAGGAAGAGCTGAGCCAGCGACAGCGACAGAGGGCAGTAGGCAAAAAGTTCAGTCTTATTTTATACTCTTTTTTTTTTTTTTGTACTTCATCGTCGTGTACAATGTTGAGCGTGGAAATTTAAAAGCAAATGCAAACAATATGGAACATTTTAAATGCACAGTGGAATGGAAAACAATGAAATGGGGTTAAGAAATCAGAGCAGGAATCTGATAAATGATATATTAAAATTTTAAAAAATCAGCTTTAGAAAATTAATCACAGAAATCAAGTTGGTTTGGAGAAAGAATAGATACCAAGCCACAAGCGTTGCCTCAGCCAGCACATGGTTATTTTTTTTAGGCAAAACTACAAAGAATTTAATCAATTTTATTGCCATAAACATCCACTTTATATGTTTCTTAGTCACATAATTAAAGTTCCACCATGTCAAGGTGTTACCTGACCACCATTGGTAATGCTTCTCCAGTGCCTGTGTATTCCCCAAACCCATCCCACTGTGCCATTTACTAGACGCGACAGCACCGGCCAAGTAAATCACCGCAACTGTGAAACTAAATTTCCAGGGCACTAAATTTACGCACAGCCAACTAAACCCGTAGTAACGGAAACCGAAACCGAAACCGACACCCGGCCCGAACCTCAGTTAACCCCAAGCCCAGGAGTGGCGGAGAAGCAGTGTAAGCTGCCCGCTTAGATGCCCGACTCACTCACACTCTCTCTCTCTCTCTCTCTCTCTGTGTCGCTGTCTTCCTGCACTCGCTTCCTTTCCCTTTTGTTACATCCTTGCCGTGCAATTTTCACCATTTTGTGGTGCACTTTGCGCCTGGCCGCGATTTTCCGAAAGATTTATGGTCCACGACATGGCAGCGGAAGCGCGGCCGTCCAGGCCACTAAGTCCAGCTGCAGGTATGCACCACCTCACGGACTCTTGGAAGCCAGCCACCACCCACCTGCTTGTTGAGTCAGCAACAAA